TTTGCGCCGAAGGATGCGTGATGAGAGTATCCTATGCCCCATTCCTCAGACCATTTGCCGCAGTGTTCATCGTTGACAGCCAACAGAGGCTGGTTGTCCCGCTTATCAGATTCGTCGTCTACGACGTCTTGTTAGTCGAATGGTGTGCACTCGATTTGCCATTAGAATTCTCTTACTAAACATAGACAGCTGCTTTTGGAACTCTGCACGATCTTTACCTGGCAAGCCCGTCCAAACTATTTCCGCGTCGTCCGACGTTTTGTCCGGCTCAAATTTGAACGAGACTGGTTTCGCTGCGCCAGATTCATCAGCCATGTTAAGGAAGTGCTGACCGAAGATTGAATGTAGATACGAATAACTTCTATGGGATTGTCAAACAAAGCCTTGCAGTAGAACAGGGTGGTCACATAAATATGTGGAGTCAAAGCTATGACAACTGGAGGTGGATGAATCGGAGCCTCATAAATACCAAGATCAGTGTGATAAGATTGAGATTTAAATTCCCGTCATTGACCGAACACGTTCCCATACCCAGACGCCTAGCATCCACCGTAGCACTGCGGCGCTCGAGAGGCTTCCACACCGCTTGTCTTGTGTGCCTGGTCGATTGTCACGGAACATGCTGTACGAAACCAATTATTATGTACGATCAAGCCTAGCTGAGTTGTAGGTTCCACGAAATTAATCCTCTCGGCCCGCCGATCTTGAAGAAGCAACCGTAATAAGGCTCTCCAGTCAACTCCGCCCCAACCAAAGCTCGCTATCTTTGAATTGCGTTCACACCAACCAATCGTATGCGAAACGATGCAAGGTAATGAGTAATCCGAGCTGCAACGAACAAATGCTGGGCTGGTTCCGTTGTGTAACACATAATGGGCGCAGCTCCCTGGACGTCAGGGGACGGTTAGGCAACACAATAGGTCTCCGTCGGAGGACTTCGGCGGCCACCATGCAAGTGGCTGGCTGATTTGGTTCTGTCGGATGGGATCGCAAGCCCCTGGTAAAATTCCAGCCTGTGGTCTAGTCACAACCTCGCCGTTCTATTGGACTGTGCCGTAAGCAACCACATTCACCTTCTCGGAACCTGGCCCCACAGCGGCTTGGCCAAAATTCACGTCCATTTGTCTTGGAAGGGTTTCTTGGCATGTTATTGCCTGGTCTTGGCGCCGGCCTGCGAGTTGCGGCCTTGAAACTGGCTTGACCTGAAGTGACGGGCTTTGGACCGACCATCAGCTCCCGTATTCTCCGTGAGCTGATCAATCGGCATATCGGAACTGGTGATGATTTGATGGCGGAACAAGAAAAAAAGGCACTCGTGCTTACCGCTTCCACCATCATTCTAGACGATACCTTTAACCAGATCTGTCTCACCAAAGGAGTCTTTTCTGGGGCTGTATTATAAATCATGGAAGTGTTACATTTCGAGAGAATTTGGTTCCTCTTCCTGGTGACACGTCTCGCCTTTTTACCTAGCTACTCTCACAATTATGATATCTTGATGGCCTCTCCTTCACCTTATTATCACTGCTGATGTTAAAACTATAGTACTTAGCCGATAAGGGATAATGTCTATAATATAGCCCCTCAACCTAGCTACTCTCATAGTATTAGATGATAGCTTCTTCAAGGAGAGCAACATTAATAACGACGCAGTTCCGCACAGCCCCCCAAGCACTCCACGCAGCAGGCACTTAGTCCTCATCCAGCAGCACAGCATAGCGTTATGTACCACCACCATCAATATAAGTAGCAGCAAATTAAGAGGTAGTACTAGCTTATATATCTATAGGAGGCCTAACCAACAGCAGTAGTTGTCTATTGGGATACCTGTGATGGGGTGCTTTGGACTTACTCTATCTACTGTCCACCACTTGACACTCATCCACCACTTTACATTCATCCACAGCCTAATCTCCTTTTCCTACTCATTGTGTAGTTGAATGCCTTGCCTCAAACAAAAACCCCACAAATTGTGTGCACGCGGCAACGAGGTGACTACCCTACCCTTTCCTTCCCCTAGTCTGACAGCAAGGATACTTGGAAAACACCGAGGTTTCTATCTCCCAAAGAAGCAAGGCATCCCTAGAGGGGGGAAAGAAAATATTCCCGTCATCATCTCCAATGCCTCTGGCAGCAATCCTTCAGGCTCAACCTATACGTCTGGACTAACAATGTTGGCCTGTAAGGCTGACTAATCGCGCAATGATTACCACTAGTTTTCCAGGCAAACAACTCCATCGCCGATTCCAACATTTTGCAACAACACCACGTTACGATTTCGCACGTCTCTTCAGCAACTCATTAAGATCTTACTGTTATGGAGGATTCAATTCGCCCGAGCGAGGAGGCCTTCAAGGCGATGTACGACAGGGGATACCAGACTTGGGCCGCACTCTGGCAGATAGCCGCCGCACACAATCACCTACAAGATCAACTTTCCAGCCTTTGTTCGGTATTTCCCAACCATCCCTATTTCCCAGAAAGGCTCGCAGTTAACAAGTCTTTCTCAAACACGGCCACCGTAAGGGGTAGGGCCACTTGGAGAACCAGCAGAGGACCTTGCGATCTCTCATCATTCCAGGAAGAGATGGTCCTCCATGTAGCTTCAGACTGCCCAACGACAATCGTCTTCAGTTCTGGTCCACATCCTACAACGAAATTTCTGAACCACGTCGCAAGAGAAAGCAGCCACGTTCCCATCTTAGTGCTTGCCTGGGCATACATACTCTCGGCACGATGGGCAGAGCTGATTCCTGGCGCGGATATATCCGACTACAACAGCCACCAGGCGCAGCTAAACTCTGGCAGAGGGCCGCATGGACTGGAAGACGATGACAATTATGTTGTGGTAGATATAGGTGACGTGGATGACGCCGCTGCAAGGTGGTGGACAGCTGTTCTTGCGGCAGACGGCGGCTGGGAAGCGTCAATCCGCAGCGATACTGGTGTCCTTCTCTGCTCGCCATGGTCCATCAGGACCCAGCCAGGGCAAAATTTCACGACATCTGCAAATATCCAGCCCTGCTCGGCAATGAAAAATTCGTGTCCTGCGTCTTTCAGCACCGCTGTCCGCTACCTGTCAGAGTATTGCCATCTTCACGACGTTGCCGAGCAAAGCCAAGCAGCCCTCGCAGCGGCGTTGCTCATTCCAGTGGCAAAATTTGACAATAGAAGAATCAAGCTGCCCGTTCCTCGACTACCACGCAAGGCAACACGCAGTCAAGAAAAGCCCCAAGCGCTTCCACCCTGGGACATGGAACCTCAGCAGCTGGATCGGCTTCTCACGCTGAGTTGCAACGCGAGGGGGGTGAAAGCTCTCTTGAACAGCATCTTCTTCGAACCTGATGTGGCCTGCAATATCTGTGGGGCCTGGCTTCAGGGCTCGTTTGCCTTCCTCGGCTCCGACAAGGCCGGGGACCCACGTGTCCTCTTGAGCACGTTCATGGAAAGGGACCCAGGGCTTGGGTTCCTGTGGCTAGGTGCTTTCATCACGGGCGCCGAGGAGCGCTGCCTCCAAGAAGCTCGTATGGGCTGGTGGAAGGTCGACATTAGCGCTGCCGCCTGGACTGGTACGCATGCGTCCTTCATCCAAGAGCCCATCACGAATGCTCCTCCTGACGCCCAAGGGATCTCACGAGCTGACGAGTGCCGCCTGATGTACCTGTCCCATGAACCAGATCACGCAGTCCCGCCGCTCTTTCCATTTGCTCCGTTCGGCTCCACCGCCATAGAAGACACAGACCTTGACGTTCGTCGACATGCCCGATGTTTGGCAGCTCATGGCCTCGAATACAGTTGTTTTACCTGGGACTGTCAGGGTGGCAAGAAGGTTGAGCAGGGAAGAAATGGGACGCTGGCGATTGCCGTCCGTGCGAAGGCTGGGAAACCTTCTGTTACCAGTAACAACAGCTTTGCCGTCGATTATGATAGCCTTGATCCCGAGGACGAAGTGTCGGAGATGGTAACCAGAAACGTTTTTACCTGGCTCCGAGGTGAAGACGGATTTCCCGTGGCGGAGAGATCGATCCGCGAGCACGAGTGGATCGAAAATCCAGAATCGGACGACGATAGCCCAATTGATGGGGATGTTCGGTCCACGGCTGGAAGGAATCTTGGTGGGTGGTTATTGGGGGTGTCAACTAGAAGGTCAAATTCACTTTAATTCTGAAGGCCAAAAATGAGAAGAACCTGTCAAATATTAGCTTGGCGCTGATATCGCAGCCTTGTCGCATCTATCCAAGCAATTCATCAGACTTACTTAAACCCAAACACCCTTACCGTAAATTAATGACGAAGATGTCGAGGTCCCAACCCGTCAGGAGATCTAGCACTACATACCTAGATCTATCTACACACAGACACAGAATTGTATACAGATATACCACATCCTCACCTTCAGCTTCCATCTGTAGTAAGTACTATAGCTCGTCAACCCAGAGAAAAATAGATCACCAGGAAGGTCAGTGCCGCTGGCGATTCTGGCAGTGAAGCTATTGGATTAAACACAGCCATCGCAGACTATTTTAAGGTCTTTGATGCTGAAAGGGGTCAAGTTAGAGTTTGAAGCTTGCATCTTGGGCAATGTCAGAAGTTTTACAAACGCTGATCGCATGACGTTAGGAGGGTGACTTCATGTCAAAGGTAATCCAAGAACAACAGACAAGCACGAGAAATACATATCGGAACAAAGGACAATTGGAGGTGAACGTGTCCATGGAAGTATTTCGTGTGGGTTTGTGTGTGTGTGTGTGTGTGTGAGAGAGAGAGAGAGAGAGATTATCAGCAGCGGTGTGGAGGACGAGCTGCAAACGGAGACCCGGAGCGAGACAGGGACCGAACAGTTCTCGCATCATGAGGTACATAATGAGATATGCAAGGCATCTAGGCAGCCTGCAGCCTGCAGTCTGCTTTTCCACCGGGTGACTTAATCGCAAACAAGCAAAAACACACTAGCACTGCAAGCACCCACCTACTTGAAGGCTTTGGAAACCCATGTTTCCATCCATGTGGTGCAGTGGTTAGCATACCGGGCTTTCAAAAAGCATTGGCACTTGAACTCCCCGGAGACTCGGGTTCAAACCCCGGCGTGGATATTCTTTTTTTTGGTGTTTCTTATGGGCAGTCGAGTGTTCAATCCTGGTGACTGGCGGAGACATCGTTACAGGCACAATGCTGTTGATCTTGCTACCTCTTTGTAAGCTGAGAGTTTCACTGCGCGATAGCCAATGCTTTCTGAGACCCGCAGTTTCAGATAAGCCGTTTGATCATCCTGTTGGGAAGCAGGTACTGCGGTTGGGATAATGCTGCCATGGTCCATGTGAATGCTATTGCCCACTGCTGTGGCCACCAAAACGAAGCAAAGGGTTCGATGCTCTCACAGATAAGCAATGCTGCTTTGTGTCGACTTTTGAGTAGGAAGAAGAAACTTTCGAATTACAATTCCATCTAGTGCCAATCTCGATGTTTTGCTGTCGCTTTCTTCTAGCAATTCAACCTCGTCACCAAACACTTCGGACTACATCATGGTCAGCCCAGCGTCATCTGACGTGGCAACTGCAGTGGTTGTCAGTTGCCTGGTAATTCTTTTCTGTATTTACATTCGGTGGACCATTTTCAGGAACGAGCACCATCAAATATCAAAGGATTTCGGCAATTGTCAAGTCGAACGGCACCCGCAGCTTGGCCCTCTGGGAGGGCCACCAAGAAGCTCTAGGCACAAGGGCCCTTCACCGTCGACCCCAGCGCACGAACCTGCTGCCCAGAACAATACGGTAATCTTGGATGAACGGCACAGATCGACCGCAGGCTCTACTTACATCAGTGCGAGGACGCCAGGATGAGGCATACGCCAGGACCAAATCACAACCCTCAGCAGTGCGTTTTATGACTGAGTTCAGCTCCACTGATGATGAGAACAATTGATACTACTCAAGTAGCATGAGAACTCAATGCAGTGAGTCCAAATCCAAGCACATGGTCAAGCGTTTCACATGCTCACACGTCATTTCGATACCAGGTACCCGTTTACGACATCAATTTCTCGTGCTCTCATTTTCATTCTGCAAAGACTATATACACCACACCGGCCAAGAACCCAATCACGAGAGGGTAGCCTCGACCATCGGGGCCAAGGTGGTGTTCACAAAGGCAGGGTCGCGCCACTCACTCCAGTCGTGCGACAACAGGCCCCAGGTCTCCTCATAGTCCTGCGTGCCGCTGCGGATATAATAGCTCCCAGCAACAACCCAGATCATCCAGCCGGCCTTCTGGGCGGGGAGGTACTCAGCGAGGCACTGGGTGTAAGGCTTGAGGTACGTGGCGCCGTCCATGGCGAACCCCCACTCGGTGAGGAGCAAGGGGAAGTGCTCGACGTCGGCGGTGGTGTTGAGCGTCTCAAAGCCATTATTATACAGGCTGGACTCGAGGGATGCACAGTTTGCGACGTTGTTGGCGTACGTGTGCAGCTCGAGGACGACCTTGTCGGTCGCAAAGTCGGCGCGGTCAAACACCTCTGTCCCGGGGGTGAGGGCGGTGCGACGCACGACGGGCGTCAGGTAGGTGTCGAAGTCGAGCCCGGACAGGATGACGAGGGGGTCCGGGTTGGCGGTGCTCACCGCCGCCGCGCCCTCCTTGACGTACTTGTACCAGGTCTGCCAGTTGTACGTCTCCTGCAGGGTGGCGTTGTTGTCGGGCCTGCGGACCTCGTTGCGGAGGGAGAGGGCCGTCAGGGCGGTCCATGAGCTGGCCTTTGAGACAGACGGTCGTCAGTACCTACGGATGAGCCGGGGGGAGGGGGGGACTGAAGCAGAAGGAATTCAAGCCAACGGCAGAGACACTTACATGATCAGCCATGTAGGCCAGTCCTCGGGTCCAGTTGGCCGCCGAGAAGTACGTGTCTCCCCACCACGAGTTCCCGTCCTCGGTGTTGCAGCACCACGCGCCCTCGGACATGTGGTTGTCCAGGACGATGTAGATCTCGTTGGCGGCCAGCTCCGCGGCTACTGCGTCGAACACCTGGGAAGTTTCACAGCAAAAGTCAGTCATCATGACCCCCAAAATGGCATTGTCTTCTTGCCGTTTTGGTGTGTCAACTCACCTCAAGTCTCGTGATATCGGTGCCAAAATCCGGGTTCGCAGCCAAGATCTCGTTGAAGACGGTCGTCCCGTTCGCCTCACCCAGGGCCTGGTTGAGCGCCCGCGAGAGGGGGATATCCGTCCCGCCGTTTTCGTAAATCTCATCAATCATCTGGATGGCGTACGTCAACCGCACCGCGTTCATGCCGATCTCCTTGAGCTTCGAGACGATGTAGGACACGCTCTGGTACTGCAGGCCCTCGGGGATCATGACATCTGCCGCGCCGGGCCAGTTGGCGCCGGCAAAGGTGACGACGTTCCCAGAGGCGTCGAGGATGTCACGGCCCGAGGAGGTGAAGGGCGTGTTTGGCCATGACTGGGCGACCGCCAGGCCGATGAGCCCGGCGAGGGCAGAGAGAGACTTCATGATGGGGGCCGTTCAAGGTGGGAGGGGCGAGGGCGAGGGCGAGGAAGCTGGTGCCTTGCAGAAAGATCAACGCACTGCAGCCGGCAGGGGACGGACTGGAGATAACATGTCTTTTATGAGTACGCGGCACGTTACATTCTGGCTATATCACGAGGGGGTGCCGTGTTCCTGGGCGGGCGGGTGAGCAGGGGCGATGTGATTTCATACTCGCTCCGAGGTGTGCCGACACGAGGGTGACAGGCACGACGAGGGATGATTATATCGGTCTGTGCCTGTGGGGCCGACCAAGAAGCTGGCCGGACGGTGGGCAGGGAAGTGCAGATCCCCACATGGCGGAGCGGAGCCGACCAAGTGTTTCCTCAGATGTTGTTGTCGTCGTCATGCATGGAGGCACTACTTTATCCCTACGTAATCAAGCAGGGGAAATGCTGCTCATCAGATAAACTGTATGTAATGTATCGACGGGCCCAGCCGAGGTGGCATATTGGAGTACCGTGAATGCAGGGGAAAAGGGCCTCGACGTATTGGTCAAGGAGTACTGTCGATCATGGCCTACTTCGAAAAGAAAAGAGAGCCTGTGCCTGCGCCGTCGACGCCAAGTTGGAGATGGCACGGACGATTAAAGATTGCCGGCTCCGTGTTCCCCGCCGTCGGCCCATTCCATATCGGATAAATCGACTTAGCAAGCTTAGGAACCTGACTTGCAAGCGCTCGGTGGAATTCCAATCTTGGAAGACCAGAATTCAAGCGCGTCGGCGGACGACTTGGCCTGGGGCTGTCAATGTTTATTCCCCCGCATCAATCCATGCTTGATTCGCCCACCAAGAGAGCTTGGAGATGAAATGAACCGAGGAACATCCTGAGCTGGGACAGGGATTCCCCACAGAAGGGAGAAAGAAAAGCCAGGGGCCAGCCAATGCGAGGAGGTCTCGTGATGGGCAACAATGGGGCGAGGTGGATAGGCTCGGCACTGCAACCGATTCGGGGCTGGTGATTGAGCTCGAGGCCTGAAGCGTGAGTGGGCTCGCGTCTGACTGGAGCGCAAGTGGGAGACTTGAGCGGCAGTGAAGTCATCGCCAATTTTTGACAAGTGTTTGGTTTTTCATTGTGTTCAATGGCAGATTGACTGACAAACAACAGGCACCTCGCTATGTACTATGTGCATCTCCCTCCTCTTGCTTCATTCCCATGGCCAGACCATGATGAGGAATGCTCTCTGGGACTCAATCTTGCTGGCGATGGCGGTTGACTGGCCAATTACACTAGATGCCATCCCTCCTCCTGAAATCAACCATGACGCCCTCCTTCCAGCTCGTAAACGTGTCGATCAGCTGCATCTCATCCGGCCGGTCCCTCCCCCACTCCCTCCCCTTGTGCCCCTCGGCCGTGTCAATAACACCCACCGCCCTCCTCATGTCATACAAGAACACCGTCCTCGCCAGCGTTGTCATCATCTCGACATACGCCAGCCCCTTGCCAATACACCCTCGAGGTCCAATGCTATGAGACAAATATTGTCAGACTCAACTAATCAAGCAGGAACACACGCGAATAAATGACAACAGAATAGAAAACTCACCTGAACGGACAGAACGCACTCTGCGCCACGGCCGTGTCCGCCTCGCCGACCACGTTCCCAAACTCCAGCTTCGAGCCTGCGATCCACCTCTCGGGCGCGTACGTGAAGGGGCTGGGGTAGTACTCGGCGTTGTGGTGGATGGTATAGTGCGGCACGCCAACCACAGTACCAGCAGGGACAAAGACACCATCGATGGTCATGCCACCAGCCAATATCTCACGGGGCAGCAAGCCCCCGACGGACGGGCTCATCCTCATGGCCTCGTCGACACACGCCCGTAGGTACGCGCACGCGTTGAGAACGGGCCCCTGGCGGATCTCCTCCACATCCACGAACCTGGACCTCACCTCGTCCTGCAGCCTCTTGAGGGCGCGCGCGTTGCGGGTCAGGTAGAACAGCGTGGCCGCCAGCGCCGTCGAGGTGGTGTCGCTCCCCGCGATGATGAGCAGGTTCGACTCGCCCCACAGCTCCGGGGTGGTGAAGCCCTGGCCCGTCTCCGGGTCGCGCGCCCTGAGGAGGTGGTAGAAGAAGTCGCGCCTGTCCGTCTCGTCGCCCAGCTTGGTGCGCTCGGTCAGCTGGCCCCGCGAGTAGGCCATGTACCTGGCCCGGCCCGCCGCGATGTTGGGGAAGAGGAGGCGGTCGAGGGAGAAGGTGTTGAGGATGGGCATCGTTCCGCACTGGACACAGCCTACGGTCAGTATCACCGGTGCATCATGAGGGGAAGGGGAGAGGATAAATCATACAATCAGATGCCGGTGCGCCGCAGAGCCCACGAGGTCAATGGCAAACCGGTTGTCGTCCCTCTCGAGCATGTGGAAGGCCTTGCCAAAGCACAAATCACCGAGTATGTCCATGGCCAGATACCCGAACCAGTCGGACATGCACCTTGCCGTGGTCCAGCCCTTGGCGTCCGCGGCACCACCTGCTGTCTGGCTGCGGCTGCCAATCTGCTCGCAAAACGTGCGGATGTTGGCCAATATATACCTCTCCATCTCCTTGATGGCCCCGTCGCT